GAAGGACATACAGTTGTCTTTGGCAAAAATGGGAGTTGATGGAGTATGAGACTGTATTTCATTAAAAAGGAGCATTTTTCAACCTCTTGTTCTTAATTTTTATTGAAATTTCTCCATCTTCTTTAGCTAGAAAGCCAAGAGTTAGAGCTATTCACCATGAGCCAAATGACTGCCCTTGTTGGAGATGGAACGCCATGAAGGTCCCTGGATTGTGTTCATTAGAATTCTTGGGATTGTGCATCATCCAGTCCCAGCTCTATATTCTATTGGACTTGCACTGCTTGTCTTCATCCCTGCAATCAGAGTTTCGTTTGGACTTTCCTGCTGCCTCCTCCAGGTCTTGTTTGTTTTCACTTTAATGTGACAAGAAAAGGCAGCTTTTGTCTTTATTTCTGGTTAGCAGACTTCGTAAATATTCATTAGCAGGTTCCCCTTCCAGCTACTATTTTGTAATTTGTTATTTTTAAATGAAATCTAAAGTGAAAAATAACTCCCAATTCTCATTTTAATACATTCGAGTTGTTAATCTTGATTTGGGAGGTCATGAGCCAGACAGGAGTGACCTTTGAAGGCTGTTTTCTTAGGCTACATGGTTCTAAGAAGGCACAGGGTGTGTGGGTGTGTGTGCGTGTGTGTGTATGGTGTGGTGTGTGTATGTTGTGTGTGTGGTGTGATGTATGTGGTGTGTATGTGTGTGGTGTATGCATGTGGTGTGGTGTGTGCATGTAGTGTGTGGTGTGTGTGTGGTAAGTGTGTGGTGTGATGTGGTAAGTGTGTGGTGTGATGTGGTACAGTGTGGTGTGATGTGTGTGTATGTGTGGTGTGGTATGGGTGTGGAGTGGGTGTGGTGTGTGTGGTGTGATGTGATGTGTGTGGTGTGTGTGTGTGTGTGTGATGTGATGTGGTATGTGTATGTGTGGTGTGGTATGGGTGTGGAGTGTGTGTGGTGTGGTGTGTGTGTGGAGTGGATGTGGTATGTATGTGTGTGGTGTGGTATGTTGTGTGTGGTGTGATGTGTGTGTGGTGTGGTGTGTGTGTGTGGTGTGGTATGTTGTGTGTGGTCTGTTGTGTGTGTGTGATGTGGTGGTGTGTGGGGTGTGTGTGGTGTGGTGTGGATGTGGTATGTATGTGTATGGTGTGTGTGGTGTGTGTGGTGTGTGTGTGTGGTCTGTTGTGTGTGGTGTGATGTGGTGTGTGTGGTGTGTGTGTGGTGTGGTATGGTGGTGTGTGGTGTGTGTGTGTGTGTGTGGTGCGGTTTGTTGTGTGTGGTCTGTTGTGTGTGTGTGATGTGGTGGTGTGTGTGGTGTGTGTGTGTGTGTGTGGTGTGGCGCGGCTGGGGGTGAGTAAATGGGACCGAGGCGGAAGGACTGTTCCCAGAGCATCTATGTGCAGGTGTTGTTCTGTCCCTTTCGAGAACAGCCAGGATCCAAAGCTTCGGGAGAGACGTTGCGATCCGCGGCAGTGCGCCAAGCTGCTAAGTGAAGGAGCCGTCCTGGGAGCTGTTGGCCAAAAGCGGGTGTTCCACAGTGCTCTCTGGTTGTTCAGTGGACACTGATGCCGTGTGCAGTTGGAATAATGACCTTTGGAACATCGAGGCGGTTTTCGTTTGGCTGTACGAAGTTGTTAAAAATGTTAGAAAGCCGGGCGGGCGTGCGGAGCCTGCCGCCCCCGGACCTGCGGCTGGGCGCTCGCGCTTACGCGCCCGGGGCTTGACTCGGTGCTTCTCCACCGGCGAAAGCCACCGGCCTCTGCGGTTCTCCGCTCTCGGCCTGTGGAGGGTCCGCCCGCCTTCCCAAGGCCCGGGCGCGGGTACGGAGTGAGTACGTCACGGGAATACGAGGCCCGGCAAAGGCCGGGCGGTGATACCGTAGTCCCGGCGTGCCGGGACACACGCAGCCACGCTGTGGTGGAGGTAAGCGGCGCGTGCAGAGTTGTCAGATCACAGGGTTGCGCGCCTGTGTGCCGCTGCGTCACAGGTGTGCCGGCGATACGCAAAAACAAAAAAAGATAGATTCGAAAAACCAAAAACTGCTTCGCAGAAATGCGTTATTCCCCCCTCCCCTGGAAAACAGAACAGATGCAACGCCTAAAGTGCCCCTGTGGGTTCGGCACCACACAGCGTCTTCCCCGCGGCGCCCCACAGCCTGCCCTGCTTTCCTGAATGCCAGCGGGAAACTGGCACTGCTGTCCGACTGTTTTTCTCAACTTGCTAGTCAGGCAGCTAATCTCTTTGTATTGTGAGTCTGTTTCTTGATGGTTGCATAAAATTCCCTCTGTGTCTCTCCTTATTCAGCTGGGCGGCTGTGCACAAAGGCCCCCCCCCCTCCCCACAGGTACCCTTCTGCCTTGTGCTGCTGGAATTGCCCTGAAGCCACAGAAATTGGCTGAGGTGTGTGTCAAGACCAGCCCCAAGCAACTCCTCACCAGACTTAAAAATGTTTGCTGAGATTTAAAACACTATTTGCCTTTGGATACAAAATGAAGGCCCTTTTTTGGAACCAGTAATACTCAGGGTTATCTGTTATCTGCCAGGGAAGATGTAATTAGGCTGACTATGCAATTTACCACGTGATTTAGGGTATGTGTTTTATTTTTTAAAAGCCAAAGGCAGGAGTCTGTTTAAATAATGTTGACTTTTTCCCCCATTGAGTAAAAATAAATATTCACTGCAGATAATTTTAAAAAATGAAGAAAAAATTTACACAGGTAAAATGATTATTAACTTTTTGATACATATTTCTTATTACACTCACATACCTATATACACACAACATATTTAGCTTTTTGCAAAACATTTTTAATGGCATTAGCCCTTGAAGCATTAATGCCAAGTATTTTTCTCTTTTTCATTTCTTTTTATTTTTAGAATGGAATATTACATAGATACAAAAAAGAGAATATGGAAACAAAGTGCCGAGATTCTGCTCTTGGCTCTACCATTTGCCAGCCTGGAACCTTGGGAAAGTTACTTAATTGTCTGTGCCTCAGTTTCCCCATATGTACAAGGGGGGGTAAAACAGTACTTCTGTCATTCACAGAGTCATTATTAGAATTAAACAGTAAATTGCTAGCTATTAATATTTTTAAAAATGAATATAACGTGTATGTAAGGTGAAAAGATTAGAAATGAACACAACTAGCATAGGAAGTCTAACATTATTATATGCTTGTGTTATATTCTTTGATCACACCCCCTTGCCAAGAGATAAACATGACCCTAAATCATTGTTTAATTTTACATATTTTGAACCACATATAATTAATGTCATACTAATTTTTCACATTATGTTTATGAGATTTCTTCAAGGTGATTTTTTTTTCAATGCCAATAGTATATGTCACAATTTTTTATCCCTTTGGGCTGATTACAAGCAATGCTGCTATGAACCCTCTTATACGTGTCTCTTGATTCACACGTGCAATGTTTGTTTCTGTTGTTTTCTTTCGCTGTTTGTTTTTTTGAGGAGTCTAATTGCTGGGTAGCTGTGTATGTGCATCTTTGACTTTACCAGATAGTGGAGGATTGTTTTCCAAAACGGTTGTACTGGTATATATATATACCTAAACCAGGATGAGTAAAAGATGGAAAGTCTGTAGGCAGTTTAACTTTTGCTCTGTGTAGATGAGATGCCTTTTCTCTTGGATTGTTTTTAAGGTAGTCTCTTGTCATTGGAAATCTGTAGTTTTATTATAATATGTCTAGGTGGTATTTTTTATCATTTATCCTTCTTGGTATATACTGTGGTTCCTATGGCAATGAATTAATGTCCTCCATCAAATCTGGAAAAATCCCAGCCATTACTTCTTTGAACATGGCCTCACTTCTGTTCTTCCTCTTTGAGGTTCTAACTGCATTTCCTTAGCCCTTCTCATTTGATTTTCTATGACTTAACCTCTCTTTTGTATTTTTCTTCTGCTTTGTGCTAGAATATGGATCATTTGTTTAGCTCTATTTTCCTTTTTTTTTAAGCTCTATTTCCTTTTTAATAATGCTTTAGCTGTGGCTAATATAATGTTTATCATATATTGAGTGTTTAAAACATTTTTTAGTGATTTTATTTTTCATTTTCGAAAGTTTCATTTGCTATTTTGTAAATCTGCCTAGTCACTTTTATAATATATTTTTTGTGATTAAAAACCTGTTTTAATTGTGGTAAAATACAGATAATAAAAATGTACCATCTTAACCATCTTTAAGTGCACAGTTAAGTACATTCACATTGTTGGGCAGCCAATCTCAAGAGCGCTTTTCACCTTGCAAAATGGAAATTCTATCCCCATTAAACAATTCCATATCCCCCCACATCCCCCAGCCTCTGGCAACCACCATCCTATTTTCTGTCTCCATGAATTTGACTATTCTAGGGACCTCAGAGAAGTGGACTTGTACAGTATTTGTCTGTGACTGGCTTATTTCACTAAGCATAATGTCCTCAAGTCTCATCCATGTTGTAGCAGGTGTCAGCATTCCCTTCCTTTTTAAGGCAGAATAATATTCCATTGTGTGTTCCTTTGTGATTTTTATTACCATACTATTTTAAAAAAACATTTCAGATATAGTAATTTTTATTAGTATCTGATAATGATCACATTTGAAGTCCTTGAGCATTTACAGCTATTGTTCTGATTTTCCTTCATGGAAGCCTGCTCCCCTACATGCTGGTGGTATTATTTATGAGGCTGTAATAGAATGAACTTAATATCTGGGAATCCTGATGCTGATCTCAAGAAGGATTTTAATTTGTTTGTGTCAGGCCTCCAGGTCCTGCCAATCTGAAACCACAGTACCTTCCTGGCTTATTGTCAGAATTTCAGCGGCAGCGTCCTCAGGAAAGCCTGCCTTTCGTGCTTGTCAATTGGCACCATTCTGGTTTCAACTGACCACCCCCCCCCACCGCACCCCATTTCCTCCCTTCTTCTCTGTTCTTTTTCTGTGATGCTCCTTCCTTCTGTTTTCTTTTTTTTTTTTTTTTTTTGAGTTTGATGTCCTTTATTCAAAGGAAAACTACCCATGGATGATGGAAATACAGTGCCTCACAAACAGTGGAACACTGATCCCAAGGGGTTTCAGGTAAGAGTGAGTTTTATAGTGTTAGAAGGGGCAACATGGAAATGGGGAATGATTCGCTAGGGTGTGAGGAATTTTGTTATAAGACTGGCAGGTCCTGTTTTCTAGGGTAAAGTAGGCTAGCTAAAGCTGAGTTGGAGGATTGTGATTGGTGTCAGTTTTTCTGGAAAGGTGTTTCTCATAACTAACTTAGGTTTAAATCTGTGGCATGGGCCGGGCCACTGGGGCAGCCTCCATTTTGGGGGTCCCAATATACAAATTAATGTTATCACAGGTGAAGATATTTCAGCTCGGTCCTGAAGGATATTAGAAGTTCGCCAGAAATACGTAGGGAAGGGGCGGAGCAAGATGGCAGAGGAGTAGGAGACCTGGATTTCGTCTGGTCTCAGGAATTCAGCTGGATAG